AATCCTCACCTTTTCTACAGCAGAAGAAATATTTCGAAAGAGCTCGTCGCGATCTCTGTGTTGGTCGTGCATGTCATGAGAGAGGATTGAACCCACTCTTGGCAGGATAAGGTTACCACGCAAGCAGAACAAATGATCGTATCATATTCCACACTGAATATCCGCCTCCAATTCCCACATCAAAGGGCAGTCAGTATTTCGTGATAAACAAATATTTTTCCACCGGGGCAAATACTAGCAGAACTTTTGAGTGACTTGGAACAATCTAGCTTGACGCAGAATGGCTCACACGACGTAGTTCAGCCGACCACAAGTTATCGTTTGGCTAAGCTCCAGTCCGTATTATTTTGGTTCGCCAGCGTAGTTTACCCTAAGCTACAAATACTACTGGAAGAAGTTAGACTGCAGCCTGCTGTAATTACAATACAAATGAGGCCATCTCCTCGCATCACCGGGCAATGTTATCGGTGTTTTCAAAGGGGACCTCGCGCGTTTTTTCGACAAAAGGCGGCCATCTTTGTGTCTAATCCGGGAGTTTGCAATTTGGAAGAACGCTGCTCAAAACTGCTATAAGAACGTCGTCTCAATTCAATATGGCGGTTGCATTGGAAGCATTGAAAATTTGTGAAACTTTAGAAGGAATTTTAAAGCCATCGTTTGGACCGAATGGACTTGACGTCCTGCTCAATTCATCTTCAGGAAATATACTCATAACCAACAATGGTGCAGTGATTTTGAAATCGCTGAATTTGGACAATCTTATCGGTCGAACCATCGTTGACAAAATTATTTCATACTGTTGCATATCTGGAGATGGGGGAACCTCATTTCTTCTGCTTTTAACGACAGTGTTAAGAGAGGTTGTTGGTCTAACGGGAATCAGAGCAAAAGATAATGGAATGGACTTCTCCTCTCACCAAAGGCAGTCCCTTGTTGCTATATCTCGAGCTTTTCATGAGTTTGAATCATCTTTACTGGAAGTCGTTCTTGTCCCAGTTCTCGACAAAATCGCAGTAAAGACGGACATTGAGTTAAAGTATTTCTCATTAATAAAACAAAGAATCGTAAGACTCTTTGTCACATCATTGAATGGAAAATTCCCGATCAGTACAGTTTCTCATTTTGCTGAACTTCTTTGCGAGTTGATGACAAAAACTTGGAATTCATCAGAAATGTCGTTAAAAGATTCACTGCTACATCTGATCGATGAATTTCCTCATATCTGCATAGAAGTTCCAGGGCTACCCGTTTTGTCATCTCAAATCAAAGCTGGAATATTAATTCCTCGTGGATTTGCTACAGAACAAGAAGGAGTACCAACAAATTTGGATGACTTTATGTTTGTGGTCATGAATTGTAGTCTTGACACTTCAGAGCCAGAAACATCTTCATCAATTAGAATCAGAAAGAATGTTTCTTTTGATGCCAGCATCCAATGGAAAAGGAAGCAGGTTCAAAAAGCAATCGTCATGTTTGCAGATCAAAATGTTAGATTGATTCTGTCGTCACAGAGTGTGTCTGATCTTGTCTTGCATTTCTGCAGGCAGTATGACATAGCTGTTGTCAGCATGATGCCCCAGGAATATGCAGACTACATCTGCAAGTGTGCAGGTGTGCTAGCCATTGACAGTTTGGATGGTGATAATCTATCAGAACTCTTTTTGGTTAAAGGTATTTCTTGTGGTCTCCACACTGTAGGTCATCACAAGTTTGTCCACCTTCAGTTTGACTCTCTAAATTGCAAATTTATTCCACACAGTATACTGCTTTGCTCACCAGCACAAGGACTGTGTAAACAATACTATCTTGCTCTTCATCATGCATTGAAATGTGTCAAGATGTCCTTAAGTGAAGATGAAAAAAGGTTGCTTTTTCTACCTGGTGCTGGAGCATGTGAACTGGCCATGAGTTTCAGTTTGAAGGCTTTTTCTAAAAGTGTAACAGATTCACATTTGTTGCTAGTTTTGGAAATTCTGGGTAAAGCCTTGCAAACTATCCCAAAAATGCTCCATCAAAATTCTTTTTCTCTGTCACACCAAAAGGACAATTTTATGTTCTGCTTGAATGAGATTGAAAGATCTTGGAAGCAAGATCGAAAGTTGCTTGGGATAGATGCAAAGACAGGCAAACCAGTGGATCCTTTCAATCTTGAAATTTACGAGCCTTTTCAGGGGAAATTCTTGCTCTTACAAAGCTTACTGCAGTACTTATCGCAGTTGTTGAGGACGGAGAAATTGATTGGTGTGCAAAAAAAGAAATAGAGTGAACAAGAATTAACACCTAATTGGAGCACTAAAATAAAGCTCCCTGCGAAGTGTGAAGTTGTTTTCTTGATCTTGTCTTTTGTGTTAGTTTCTACAGATACTGGCAGTTAAGTTAAAATGTAGTTTGCTATTGACCAAACGTTTTGTATAAAATAAGGAATATCCATTGTAGGCTACAGGCAGTCCGAGTAAGAGAATTGAGAGTCTTAGTAGACCTGAACTTAGTAACTTACTTCTTACAAGGAAATGTTGTTTATCATTGCTTCATTCAAGTCTTCTCCATCTCC